CCTCAAAGGAAAAACTCATTCAGAACCATTATCTTAAATAAACCCTAACAAACCAGAGCACCTGCAATTAGAGCCGGAATAAGTGATCTGCTTGTGATTGCACAGCTGGGGTCTAAAGACTCGTAAGTGCATTGAGAAAGGGCCAGAAATAGAAGGCACTGGAAGGCAGCAAAGAAACCCAGGCTGCTTGACAGGTGGAAACCTCTCTCAAAGAGGCTGAGGGGAGAAAAAACATTACTTCACTGAGGAGCTGGGGTCAAGAATAACCATTCAAGCAAATAAAAGTTCACTGCATGAGTGCAGCTCTGTCCTGGAGTGCAGCACCTCTAGGACCTGAGTCCTCAGCAGCCCTGCCAGTGGCCCTGGAGCCTGACTGTAGGCCCCCCAGCTATTCCTCAGAAAAGACCTGGAGGAGTCCAGTGGCTCAGATGGGAAAATGATCCAGAGGCCTAGTGAAAAAAATTGTTAAAGGAAAAGAGGCAAGATCCCCAACGAAGCAGCAGCAGGGGAAGACCACCGCACTGCCAGCCCTGACTTGCATCCAGCTTCAGCAAAAGGAAGCCGCTCCTGTTGCTGGGGAATGAGACAGTATCCCTTGATCTTGCCAGCTACTGTACCCAGCGAGGGCAGCCCAAGACTATGAGCAGAGTGACATTTCCACTAATCCTTTTATCCCCAGCTTCTACGTGCGGCTGCTGCAAAAAATGTCAAGCCCCCAGCAGGCCGAGCTCCTTCCGAGGCAGCAGCTGGGAAGAAGAAGGAAGGCTGTCCTGCTGTGCTGGCACAAGTCTCTCAATGCGTCTCTGGAGGGGACTTTTGCAAGCCATCAGATGCTTGCAAGGCTGGTCCAGGGGCTATGGGGAAACCAAATGGGAAGCCTTGGGTGGGCCAGGTAATGGAGGGAGAGGGGACAGACATATGAGCATTCAGCATGAGACCAAATCCTGTTCCACTAGGGCCCAGACCCCTGCTCTGCCCTTATCTACCCCAGTCCTCTAACTCAGAAGACTCCCTGAGTTATCGCTAAAGCCACTTCTCTCTAGGACAGAGGCATTTAAAGGCTAAGATATCCTTTACATGAGACAGGGGTAAAGAGCACAGCATAAACACCTATGGCAGACTGCAGCATTGGGTGGTTTAATGATGCCCAAGTTAGTTGGCTTGCACAGCAGAAAGAGTCCAGTCAGGGCAGCATGGGGGTTTATGCAAACTAACTCACCTTGCTGTTCAGCAGTGTAGTACCCTGTTTTATGGCAGGGTAGCTGTCCCACACCGAGATGTCTGCCACTGCAGCTATGCTGCTTCTTGTACATTATCTCTACATTACCCTGCAGTCTGAAACACAGAAATACCCTTAGACAGGCAGTCCTAGGTCTGGGTTCCTCCCAGCACCATCCAAGGTTTCTTATTTTACGACCACAGCTCTGTACACTGCTAATTGCTGGAGCCAGGAGAGGTCTCCTTCTTGTTAGAGTGACTCAGAAGATAACCAGGGAGTCTATCCTGGATGTCAATCCCAGAGATGCCTCAGACAGAAAGCAGCTGTGAATGTCACACATGGAAAGGGCTCTACAGCAAGACGACTTGCCTGAGCACACACAACCAAAAGCACAGACTCATCTTTCATGGACTGGGAGCACAGCAGCCAGAAGAACAGAAATGTTGCCTTCTCTCAAAACATACACTACTTCCTTCTGAACCAGGCATACCCGGAGCATACAATAGCGCCCAGCATGTTAGTTTCCAAAATCCATTAGGATGTTAACTGAACAATACACTTACTTATCTGAGTGCCAGAAAGACAAGGAAAGAAATACATTAAAGGACATTATAAATCTTACCCAGCCCACACAGTAAACAAACCCGTATTTCATCATAACGCAAAAACCTTAACTCTGACATGATAAATGCTATTTTTTTTCCCCAGCGGTAATTACAAAAGCCTAAAAGGAAACCATTTTGAAAAAGAAACAATTATGTACACATTAATGACACAAACTGAGTAGCCTCAAATGCAGGTTCACATAGAAGCACAGAGAAGTAGGGCTAGAAGGGACCTCCAGAGGTCATCTAGTCCAACCCCCTGCCTGAGGCAGGATCAGCCCTATCCAAACCATCCCGTACAATCTATAATCTAAACTTGACATAAGTACTGTCAACCCTGACACAACACAAGACATAGCACCCTAACACACCACAGGTAAAGCAGAGGAACCACAGCAGCCAACACCTGCTTTGATAAAAGGTTATTAGCATACCCTCCTGGGTAGATCCCACTCCCCCCTGCTAAAGGAAGGCAAAACCCCCCACAGTCCTAAACCAATCCAACCATAGGCAAAAGTCCTTCCTGAACACAAATATAGTGATTGGTCTGAGCCTGAGAGAAGGGGCAAGACCCTTCGCAGCCAGGAACCTCTGGCTTTAAGTCTCTGTAGGAGCACTAGCATACTTCAGTCACAGTCCCCAGCCTTGGCTGTGTCCAACACACAATGCCTCTGAGGAAAGCTTAAACACCCTGACACAACATATGTAGTACCAAGCGGGAGGGAGATAGCAACCATCAAAACCCAGAAGTATGGGAAATACCCATAGTAGAACATAGACCTAGCCTTTCATAGTGATGGAGAGTCCACAACCTCCCCTGGCAGTCTACTCCACTGCCTCATTGTCTGAACACCAAAGAAGTTTTCCCTGATATCCAACCTAAATCTACTTTACTGCAACTTCAAGCCACTGGTTCATGTACAAACGCATACATGTATAACCTCATCAATTATATGCAGTATTACTCCGACAAAGCAGAAAACACTACTATTTGACCAAACAATTCAACAGTTGATTGATAAGTGCATTAAGTCATCATATTTCCATGAACTGGTATCTCTTACCGAAATAAAATAATAAAATTAAATAAAATATTTAGATGCTACAATCAAAATAGCTCAGACTACACATTAGAGGACTTCTAAGGTCAGAGTTAAGTATGGTATATCCTAATGGAATATGCACTTCTCTAAGCTCTATATAAGGTTTATGCTGTGGCACTGTAAAATTTTTGATGTCCTTAATTACTTATGACCATGATTTCTAAGTGCTTGGGTTCAGTAGATGGTCTGTTAAGCAAGTACTTTTGCTGTCACTTGGCAACTGTAACCGGTTTTCCAAGAGTAAGCTTTTTGTTTTTTGAGTTCACATCCCCTCTGTGCAGACATCAAGAGACAAATATACCCCACTGAGAAGGCTTCATTTATCTCCCTTTACCAGTAACATGCCCATGCTGACGGCAGCACATGCCTGTAAAGTTAAAAGGGTGAATATTTTTGGAAGTTATGACTGATTTTCATTGGAATGGCTGACAGCAGAAGACTCAAAGCAACTGCTCAACATACTGCTCTCCCCAGGCATGTGGACACAAGAGATCTAACCAATCAGTCCAGCTTTTACCTCCTGTCCCCACACCAGAGCTCAGGGGAGTCTTCTCTCATAACAATCACTCAGGCACATTATTTCAAATGTGTGATCTGTACATAGGCTGGGAATTCAGACTGCTGAACTCATCTACTTATTGTTCTGGAAAACAAAATACTGCAGCCCTTTATACAGAAAAGATAAAGGCTCCTGGGTTTGGAGGTTCCTTGGGACACCATCTAGCATGCTCAGAAGTTCCCAGGTTGGCGGGGCATTATAGAATGGCTTGCCTCTTTCCTATACCGACTGCAGAGTCGCAGGCCCTATCAACATCCCCAGAGAAGACTGAGGGGGGGTGGATTTGATAACAGTTTTCAAATACCTGAAGGGCAATTACAGAGAGGATGGAGATACACTATGGTCTGTGACAAGACAAGAAGGAATGGTCTTAAATTGCAGCAAGGGAAATTTAGGTTGGGCAGTAAGAACCTTTCACTATGGGGAGAGTTAAGCACTGGAACAAGCTACCCAAAGAGGATGTGCAATTTCCGTCCTTGGAAATTTTTAAGAGCAGATGAGACAAACACTTGAATGGTTGAATTGGCTGAATCAGGGATGATCCTTCCTTGAACAGGGGTTGGACTAGATCAGCAATTCTCAGTCTGTGGGTCACAACCCAGAAGTGGGTCACAAAAATATATGAAAGTGTAACAAGTAAATTTTAAAAATGGATCAAACTTTAGCAATCGATTCTCCCTTGAAGGAGGAAAATATGGGAAACCGTGGCTTTTCCCTTGCAGGCTTGCAAAGTTCCAGCCTGTGAGGGGCTGCTTAGGGCCCCCCTGCCCCACACACTGGGGGTCTGGGGGTGGAGGCAGTGGGTCAGGAGTGAGGGGCACTGGGTCAGGACTGGTCACTGATGTTTACAGATGGGTCCTGGTACAAAATAGGCTGAGAAGCACTGTACTCGATGACCTCAGGAGGTCACTTCCAGCCCAACTTTTCTATGATCCTAGGCTTCTATGTCCTGAACCTCCAGACAAACGCATCACAGGCCGGACCCACTCAGATGCCATTTTAACAAGTCAATAATTAGGAGCACAACTGTCAGCCACATGCCTGAAGCAAGGAAGGTAGATGTGTGTCTGCAAACCCCTATTTGTTAGAAGTTAACGAGCTGTGCGGGCTCAGGCTGTGTGCTGGGGCATGCTGCTGCCCCCATCCGCAGACCCCTGAACTCCACAGAAAGGCAAACCTCTACTGGCTGCCTCAGGGCTGCTAATGAAATGAGTGCTCATTAGAACTTCAATCAAACCCAGCCCTATTATGAGACCCCTTAATCTGTCAACTGCCCAGCAAGAAAGACCTGCTCAGAGTTTGCACTTTCTCCAACCCCCGTCAGCACCCTTGTCTCCTTTACTGGCTCCTTCACTGTTTTCTTCTCCCCATGCTCATTTACCTTTATTTATGGCACACTCCATCCCCTGCTTCTCCACACTTGCCCTCACTGGTCCACCCTGAGGAATAACAGGATTGGCGATAACCTTTCCAAAGAGATGCAACAGAACTGGAGTCAGGGGGTGACTACTCACATGTAGCGCAGATGAGGGTTCTTGGCAAACGCCCGTGGCTGGATATTTCGAAGTCCTGAGTTCTTGATTGTCCTGGAAGAGGATTTAAAAGGACAGTGATAGAGTAAAAGACTGAGGCTCACTGGGCTTTCAAAGCCCTTTGCTAAACTTAAGGAGGTGCCCATACAAATGAGTGACAGGCCGAGTGAGACAGCATCGGAGTGGATGCTTTGGGAGTCAGTGAGTATGGGGAGAGGAGGAAGCCTTAATCTCTCATTGCACATAACCTGGGTAAGGTTGCAAATCAAGAGGAACTGGGTTGCTTCTAATGCGATAAACTTTGCCCTATCCTAGAACAGGCAAAATGCAAGCCCCTGCTGTGCAGACTTTCCCCTCAGTCTCAAATGTTCAGCCCCTCTACTGTTGCGATCTTGGCCTTTTCCCCCAATAGCATGACCAATGTGTCTCAGTCTCAGACAGCAGTCTTCCCCGCTATTGAAGACCTGGCTTCCCACAACACATCTCTGCCAATGAGCCTCAAGCCACACCTGCAGCCTCCACATCCCTTGCTATTTCTGTTCCCTGAGTCCCTCAGGCCAACTGCTCTAGAGATGTGTGATGGGCATTTTTATCCACTGGGGAACCCCATGTATATTTTACTGAAGGAAAAATCCCTTTGCTTTGAGCACACAGGGAAAAACAAGCCTTTTCCTAGCAGGGAAAAGGACACTTGAGAAGGCTCCTCTTCCTCTGTCGCTCTGGAGAAGCTAAATCAGCACCACAGCCATGATTTATTAATATACTTTATGAACAGAAATACCTGGCTCCATTGCAGCTTTCCTACATTAAATGAGAACCAGCAACCCAGCATGCTTACACTGTGGATTTCCTAAATACACTACTAGCAGGGGTTCAGTTTACAGGATGCTCAGCAATATACTCTCTCCTTTCCTGGCCTGTGGTCAAATGGTAGCTAATGCAGGCTTCCCAGTGAAATAGGCCTGGACAGCTTCAACTTAACCCCTTGCGGATGCTGGGTGCATTATAAAACCATTGTCCGCTACAACATCATTCATCTCCTGCTTAAGAGAGGAGCAGGCAGCTTGAGGCACTGGAAGGGGATTTGAGAGAGCTGGGTTGTATTCCTGGATCTACCACACTTTCTGAGTCCCTGGCAAAGCACATCATTTCTGTGTACCTTGGTTTCCTGTCTGCAACATGGGGATTATAATACTTTTCTACCTCACCAGGGTACCATGCGGATACACACTCTAATGATTGTGAAGCACTTGGGTACTCTGGTGATGGGAGCCATGGAAGTACCTAAATAGTTAGAAATAGCTGGCGCTTTGCATCTTTGAGTATCTACAGAGCAGTGCATGGGCCCAGGACTAGAACAGCAGGGGGTGAGATAAGTCAGGATTAATATGAGCTGGCAGAGTTGTGGTGAGCTTCAAGCCTGCCTGATCAGGGAGCCAATGAGGGCTGAAAAGTATCCGAAGTTAAAAGTTGGGGTTCTTCATTCTGGGCTGTCTGGCAGTAAACTATTGTCCATAGCAGCCAGTCATTGAACATGCTCAAAATATCAAGGGGGCAGAGGTGCTAGGACAAAAGGAGCAGCACTTTCTTGCTGGAGCCTTCCAACCAGGCCAAAAATAGCTGCCTAGTCCCATCCCTCAGGCCTCCTTCTCACACACGTGGGTCATACTCACAGCCTCTGGAGTCCCGTGTACAGCTCCATGTCTACAGCATTCAGCGTCTGCAAGTTCTTCCAGTTTTCTATGTGTCTGTGAAGAGGAAGGAAAAGCTCAGCTCTTAGCAAACCAGGTCAAGATGGCCTGTTCCACACAGGTGACTCACTGCTTGACCCAGGCAGTGGACAGCAGCCAGAAAGCTGCCCCTCCATTAGACAGACCCACCCCCTTGCTCTGCCCTGAAAGGGAAAGGTGTGAGGATTAGACCCGGTTGCATCTTCTACCCCCATGCTCCCAAACTTATGTGGTTTCCATAACGCCAGGAAAATAAGCAATTTCTTGCATCACTTTTATTTCTGTTACTTGGATCCTTTACAGGTAAAACTATCTCCTTTGGTTTCCTTCCGCTCCCACCCTTAAATCTTTCACTAAGAAGCCAAGGAAGATATGCAGGGCTTAGCAGTTAATGTAGACCAGCTGGGAGGCCGACGTCCTGGCTTGTGTTCCTGACTCTGCCTCTGGGGCACAGTGCATCCTTGGGCAAGTTGATTCCCTGTTGCATCTCACTTGGCACATCAGTAAAACAGAAATCATGAGCAAAATCCTTGCAAAAAAAGCACTTGAGCCACGTTAAACTACTTGGTGGCTGAGCCCATGACAGCTAGTCATTTGATCCCTGCACCTGGTGCAAGAGAGAGGGACCGAGTCTTCCAGTCCAACTGGCCAGGCAGAGGGGATGCTGCTCTCAAGACCCAAAGCTAGCACATAGTATCGGGGCTCAGAGCTTGGAAGGGAATTAGTGGGATCTAATGAATACTTTGGTGGAGAAAAAAAAAAGCTGGAAGTAACTAAGAGCTAGGAATGGGGGGTGGGGGGTGCAGCTGGGAAGCTAGCAGGGGCAATGGAGAACTTGTGGTAGTTAGGATGGGGGTCTGGGCCCCTGAGGAATAGCAACTAAGGGAATAAAAGCTTGAAGCAGCTTTGGGAAGATGAAGGGGCTCTATGAACCTGAGCAGCTTGGGGCCCTCGGGGTAGAAAGGGATGAGGCAGCTTCTTGTGGCCTCCCCTTTTCCCTACTACATCCCCTCATTTTAAACTCCCCCCCAGCCCCTCTCCCTCCCTGCCAGCACAGCTGCTGCTTGCCCCACTTCCCTGGGAGCTCCTCAACTTGCCCCACATCAGCAAGAGGAGCACAACAGCAGAAAGGCCACTTGCTCGCATGAAGCCTGGAATCAGTGTCCCCACCTGCAGCTGGAGGGAGGATCTGCCACTTCGCTCATGGATCGATCTGTCTGAAGACAGTCCCACAGGGTGAGCATCTAATTCTCCTGCCCTGTCCCATAGCACAAGAGCACCTCAAAGTCTTGAAGGGATTTATTCTCGCTGCACCCTGTGAGGGAAGGACCTACCACTGACACCACTGTGCTGATGCCAAAGCACAGAGGGAACATATGACTTGACCAAGGTCACATCAACAGTCAGTGTCAGCTCTCTGAATGTGGTTTTCAAGTCCCTATCTGACCAGAGGTTAACCTCTTCCTTGCCAAGCACTGGATAGTCTATATAGACCCTGTCCCATTCCATTACTGGACACAACTTAGATTTTCATTGGGAGGCTGGAGCTGCAGGGTGGCTTGGTTGGTTGTTATATCAACTCCACAGGGCAGGAACGATGCTTATCCAACCAGTTAACAGAGGGGACTAGGCAGGGTCTTACTCTTTCTTGGCTGGGGAGTGTTGTAGGTGAGGTGGTGTCAGGCAGAGTTTGTAAAGCGTGTCTTTATTATGAATTCCTCCTATGCCTGGAGCATTCTGGCAGGCATGTTATGGAGAATGAAAACAGAAATAGATCTGTCAGCACTGAATTTTTATTCAGTAAATATTAGAGCTGGTGGAAGGTGACAGATCGACAGCCCCAGATAATGGGGCCCCCTGTTAAACCACATGATAGGAACAACACAGGCAGCAGCAACAGCAGCATGACATGCTTCTGACGGGCCTGAACTCCTGCTCACGGGCTTCAACCCTGACCTAGTGGGACCCTAAGTCAAAGAGAGGTAAATGTATTCTCCTTGGCCCATTCTGGCCTTGACCTCTGTTCTGACATGGCCAAAAAGGAACTAGTTCATGTCGATGATGATTTTGGAAATGGGGTGAAATGGACCCTTATCTACCAGGAACTGGAGCTTCACCCACGAGCTCACAGAGCATGAGCCACTCAACAGACCTGCACACAAACCTAGGCTGACCTGGAATTGCTGACCCAGAATGGACTGGCTCTACGTGCCATTTTCAGTCCGTAGCACTACCCCTCTGCAAAACAACAGGACTCTTTCTGCCCCCATGTGATGCTTCCTGCACTGGAAACAGTAGGAAACTTCCCACTGGATGAGTAAGGGCAAAACACCTTCCACTTTTTATAGAAGCCTTCAGCAGTGAAGCAATTTCAACAGGGTATATAGATTGGTGAGCAAAGCTACTTCCCACACTCATGACAGCCATATGGCTGGGCCATAAGCAGACAGCTCACTGGAGTCTGAAGACATCTGCCTTGGAGGTTTGAGTCCTGGTCTGTTGGTAGCTTCCAGAGAGACTCAGTGAGGTAGTCACCTCTTTAATCTCTAATTCACATGCATCCTTAGCGTGAGTCCCAGTAACTCACCTTCTGCTAAGGGCTGTGCTCCATCACCCACAAAACACCAGCCCAGGGTGGATGTTCTTTTCTCAGAGACTGAGGCCAAAGACCACCTTACCCGGAGCACAAAGATTCAGGTCAACTTCTCATAGGAGATCTACCCAACAGGGAAAATCACCACAAGAGACCCAGGGGCAGCAATGGTGGGTTCCAGGAAAGAAACTTCATCACTTTACTAAACCAAGAGGGGATTTTATGCAAGGTCTAGAAGGGAAAGGAGAAGACCTCCCCACCTCTCCCATCCCAAACAGGGGTCTGTATTCAGGCTTAAGTAGCACTTATTCTTCAAGAAGAAAGCACCTCTAGGAGGGAAGCTCGTGGACCTACTTTATTTGTTCCTTAAATGCTTAAGAGGAAAAAAAAATGAACTAAACTCCTGCAATGAACATGTCTCTGATCCCAGTGCATGCATCCAAGAAGTGCAAGGACCCAGAAGAGACACGCATTTGATTTCCACATGTTCTGTAATTGCCTGCATATCCAGAGCAGTTAGCTTAAGGACACAAAATAAAATCCCAACTGGCTTCTGCATGACAGCTTAAGTTACAGTTCATCTTAAACTATCTGCTCATCAGCTTGGCTTGCCTGTGTTCCAGTGAGAAAGAGATGCAGGATATTATTAAAGCAATGATGCATTCACTGGCAACACACGTGGTTTCGGCAGTCACTCACAGAATGGAGGACCACCTAGAAGGAGTCAGTACAGAGAATCCACGTATTAATAGCAAAGGGCAGAAATGCAGGGTCAGATGGAAGTTCACTGGCAGGCTTTCATGGGTGGTCCACAACTAAAACATACCCAGGGATGATGGACGGACAAGCCACACTAGTCCAGGGCTAGATGCAGACTGACAATGTCACCACACCCCAACACAGTGTCAAGCCTGGAGAGGGACCCTCCACTGGGAAGGAACATTGTGGCAGGAAGCAGCCTTCAAAGTGCTTAGAGACGTAAAAGACATATACCAAGTCTGAAACATGAGGGTCCAGAGCTTTAGGGAACAGGCTGAGCAGCCCTGAGACGAGAACCCAGGAGCAAAAGACTGAGACCTGACTTGATGTGGTCGTAATGTTCATGCACCTGTTAAGAAACTCTCCAGGGTCTGTGAAGGGTGTCTAAAGACAAGTGGGCAAGACATCAGCTCTCAAGGATGCTGCTGTACAGCAGAGAAATATGCTGGTACAGCTGCCTGAGGACCCGGTACTAAGTTGCTGGTATGCTCTGGGTCAGGGTTAGGGTGCATGTGTCAGAGCTGTACCAAGGAAGCTTTAAAAAAACTCTCACGATCTTGTCTTTTCTGAGCATTAAAAATGTCCCAAGATAGATAAATGCAAGTGCCAACTGAATTGCACTGTGAGAACCAACCTCTGGCCACATAATTGCACATGACGGCTGAGGATTAGGAAATATAAGGCAAGATCCCTAAGGCCAGTGATTGAATCCTCCCAACTCAGCATGGCACAAAACTCCACAAGGGAGTCAGTCCCAACAGTGACATCAAACCTGACTGCGTCCACCCACAGAGATAGTACTCGACCTATAATGCAGCCTCCTAGCCCCTGAAGGCCAGAAGTGACCTCCCAAACCCAGATCCCCTTTCACATGTTATTAATTTATAGCCACATTCGTTATGCACAAAGGCAGAGATGTGGACAAGCAAGTGCATACACACAGGGAAATCACAGATGGGAATCCCAAAACATAGTGTACAACAGACCCTCTGGCTAAGGAAAGACTTGGTATTTCGGTCCATCCTGAATTAGGAATGTAAAACAGAGGAGCATCCTGGGTAATCCAGTCCAGCCCCCTACTACTGCAGACAACTCCATCACATAATCCCTTTCATAAAGGGATCAAACCCCATTTTACAACTAATCAAGTATTTTTCTCCACTAATCCCACTGTAGAACTTAATTTCTTGGGTGCTTAAAATCCTTCAATATCTCCATTCAAAAATTACTCCTCCCAATAGAGACCCATTTGCTCCTGCACTGATGCTAAATTTCTTTTCCCTTCTGGATGTTTACCCACCTGATACATTTACATACAACAGTCGTGTCCGCTCCCAGCCTTAATTTGTGAAGCTATACAAGCCAAGTCATTTTAGTCTCTTTTTCTCTAAGCACCCTAGCTGCCTCTCTGCACCTGCTCCCATCAGAATTCATCTATCTTGATCTTGGCTCATCAGACCTGTATCCAGTACTCCAGATGAGATCTCACCACTGCCTTGGACAACAGTATTACTATTGGAAATATCTTCCCTGACACTGTCCAAAACTATTTTCACAGCTGAAGACATTGGTGGCTCACATGTAACAACTAGTACACATAGGTCTTTCACCTCCTCAGCCATTTCCAACTGATGAGATCCAGCTCATGGAAGACATTCAGATTATC